GGCGACGGGACTTTTATTGACAGCCCGGCGGGGCTACAAAGAGCCCGCCAGCCCTCCCAGACCACCTTGTCCCCCGACTTGCGGTGTCCTGGGGGCGTACCCGCAATAAAAGCCAGGGCGGGAGGCAGGGAGGGGGCGCGCGGAGAGGGGCTTCCGAGGCGGGCGGACTCGCGGGGCGCTCCCCACGGTCCCCAGCGCGGTGGAGGCCCCCTCGGGGCCAATCCTGAGACGCACGGAATTAGCAATTCACCATAACCGCGCCCGCCCGGTACCTGCCCTGGTCTTTGTTTCGCGCTGCCACCGGGTGTCCCGTGCGAAGGGACAATGGGTGGCCGGCGCAGGTGCTCCCTGGAGGCGCCCTGGGCGGGCAGGTGGAGGGTGGAAAGTCGCAGGTGGTTGGGTGGGCCCGGGGCAGACTGCCGTCTGGGTCGGGCTGGCCCCTGCCCAGTTCCGTCCGTGCAGGGTCCACCCTGGGCCCGCTCTGCGGGGCCCTCCTTAACCCAGGCGCCTCCATCCCTGGCCCTGGGCCCTCCCTAGCTAGGATGACCCCCAGCTCTGCAGGCACACAGCTGCCCAGGTAAGACTAGCCACAGGCCAGAGGGAGGAGGCAGGTCCCCAGGGACAGGGCAGCAGGCGGCCTCACAGAAAGCGACTGGGGGGGGCTGTCAGTCTCCGCAATAAAAGGACACCCATCGACATCCTGGACCCCCAGAGTGCGGGCAGGAAGATGAGCAGCAGCCAAAATGCTCGTCCAGGGACCCCAGGTAGCTCAGGGTCGCCATCTCTGCCCTGACGCACCCACAAATTGCCCCCATCCTGAGGCGACGGGTGTCTGCTGGGGAATCCACAGGGGGAAGAGGGTGACGGCCCACCCACGGCCTCATCCCGAGAAACCCAAAGGCTGTCACTGGTCCTGTCACAGGAGTCCCCAGGAGAGGGGAGGGTGGAGCAGAGCAGGGAGGAGAATCTGGAGGGGGAAGGAGCAGGGGGTCCAGGAGGAGGCAGGGGGACCCTGGGAAGCAGCTCTTGCTTCTGGGCCCCGGATGGGCACACAGACGTGGGGCGACCCGCGGGGTCACCACGCAGCGCGTATCTTGATTGTGACGCTGCCCGTTTCCTCCCTGACCTGTGTGGCTATTGCTGACCCTTCCCGTGGGCCCCGGGCCCTGCCGGTGCCGCGGACTTCACCCGCGGGGGCGGCTGCGATGCGGGAGTCTGGTTCAGAAACTCCTCTGTCTTCTGAGCTGCGCCCGCCGCAGGAAAGCTCCTTTCCACCTCGGGGCTCCCATGTTTGTCTCCATGCGGGGGTGGCGGGACCTCTTTAGAGCAGGCAGGTTTGAGGGTTTGGGGGTGCCCCTCTCCCTGCCCTGTAACAGTATCAGGAACCTACAGCAGCAAATGCAGTTTATTTGTTTATTTATAGTTGCAAAGATTTAATTATCTGTACAGATGTACTTATTGATGCACACAAGGCCTGGGGTGCAGGCCAGAGGTGTGGGATGGAGTGAGGGGACTCCCCAGAGACAGTGGGGAGCAGAACAGGCGGATCCCCTGCAGCCCACCGCTGAAGGCGCAGCCGGGAGACAGGAGGGGTCACTCCCTGGCCAGGGGTGGGGCTGGGGCTGTAGTGGCTGGGACTTACCTGGCTGAGACGGACCCTGCTCCCGCGTCTCCCTACTGGACACTTAAAATCGCTCTGTGGGGCCCTCCCTGGTGGCACAGCGGTTAAAGCGGTTAAAGCGCAGCACTAAGGAGCTAAAGCCACTTCCGGTGAGTTGGATCCCGCCTGCCCCAGGAGCCCCCCAGGGCACAGCAGACCTCGCCTGACCCGCCCCTGCTCCCTTCCTCAGTCGGCCTGTCCTGCTCCCCGCTGTCCCTGGTGAAGCCTCTCACGGCCCCTGCACCTCTGGCCTGTACCCCAGCTCTGTCTGCACAAACAAATAAATCTTAAAAGAAAGCAACATGCAGTGGATGCACATTTGGAAGTGACTAGCCCTGTGTGGGCACGAGAAAGGACAGGACGGACGAAGGGCAGTGGACATGCGTGGGGCCGCAGCCTGGAGCGAAGGAAAGCTGGTCTGACCCAGGCCTTGCAGTTGGTTTTTGCTCAGCCCAGAGGCGGAAGCCGGTTCTTTCCGTAGCTGTCAGACAGATCATCCTGCAAATACCAGTGTGGCCCTCGAGCTCCGCCTCCAGGGTTGTCGCAAGGGAGACACCCTGTGGGTCTGAGCACCCTGGGGCCCCCGGCCACCCAGCACAAGCCTCACCCGGCCAGGGAGGGGCCGGGGCGGCGCAGCTGCCCCCCCAGCAGTGGGGCTCAGTGGATCCGCCCGTTCTGCCCCCCGGAACAGAGCATGGAGGCGCCGGCCTGGGTCTCCACCCGCAGGTCCCCAACTTCCCTGGGGGCCGGAAATCAGGAAGACCAGAGAAGACTGCTCCGGTGAACCCCTCACCACCCCCACCTCTGGCCTGCACCCCGGCTCTTGTGTGCATAAATAAATAAAATCTTTTATAAAAAGAAAGAAAAAATATATAAAAGTCCAATGGAAAGGCCCAAACTGTCGTCATTCACAGATGGGATCAGGAGCTGCCAGGATTCCGGGCGCCTCCCCCCAACGCAAAGGCTAGCAGCCCTGCGGCTGTCTCACCTGGCCCGGAGGGCCCGCAGGGCAGGCACCCTTTGCTTTTAACTGGGGCGAGGCTCCGGCCCGGCCAGGAGCGCCTGCGGCCAGGCCCTCTGGTTCCGCAACATTCCCACCACCCCAGGGGATTACGTCATGACTCCCCCACCCCACCCCGTCCCCAGCCCGCCACGCCGCTGCCCAGGGTGGCCTCTGCATTTCCAGACTGTCCCAGGGCCAGTCAGGCTGTCCGGCCCGGTGTCCACCCTGCAGACGGCAGCCAACCTCTCAGGGCTATGGGGGACTCCCCACAAGTCACGGAACTCAGGGCCCAGCCACGGGAACCATTAACTTCTCCCGTCAGTGCAGACCCACTCGAGGCCCATGGCCCACGTGGACCCCCCTTGTTACAGGTGGGGTGCCCACCCGGCAGCCGCGCCCACGGAGCCAGCCTCACAGAGTGGCCTCCGGCGCATGACAGCGCAGACCGCCAGCCCGGGCTCTAGGCCGCAGGAGAGTGGGGGCCCCAGCCTAACCAGCTGGAAACGCCCCCCCAGACTCGAGCCGCTGGAGGAGAGGAGGGGCCCAGAGGAGAGGCTTCTGGGGCTGGGGGCGTAGCGCGGGGCCTGGGGGTGCAGCGCGGGGTTGGGGCGCAGCATGGTGGGGAGCGTAGGGCTGGGACGGGGAAATGGGCACGGGGTTGGTGGGTTTGGGGTATGCAGTGGGGGTGTGCTTTGTGGGGTGGAGTTTAGGAAGGTGGGGGGTGGCGTGGGGCGCCCCGGGCTGCGTGGAGCACGAGGGAGTTGGCGGGGAGACAGACCTGGCACTGAGCACCCTGCACCCCTGGCACCCCTGCCTCAGGACTGCTCAGCCTTCCAGGGCTCCCCAGTACCCTCAGAACAACGTCTCGGCCCCTGATGGGAGCGGGGCCTTGGGTGTGGGCTGATGGCTCCTGCCGGTCCCACCCCCTGCACCCAGCAGCAAGGGCTCTGGGGCCTCGGAGGGAGCCTGGGTGCAGTGTGCAAGTCCGCACCCTCCTCCCCGCCCCCCAGCCCCTCCCAGCCCATCTCCAGGGCTTCCCCTGCGGGCCGCCCTGGCAGCCTCCCTGGCGGCTGAACCCAAGGTGTCTGGACCTCAGCCTGCACAGCCAGGTCAGGCAAGGCCAGCGCGCAGCCTCGTGGGGTCTCGGGCCTAAGAAACCCGGTCTGGTCTTCGGCATTAGTCTCGAAACGTTGCAGGGGCCCAGGATCCTCGGCAGGGGGAAGAGAAACTGGCCGCAGACTCTTGGGGCCGTGACCACGGGGTAGGCAGTCTGGGCCTCAGCTTTGACAGTGGGAGGCCCGACCTGGGGTACAGGCCAGCGGAGGGAGCAGGGCAGGGCCGGGGTCACGCCCAGCTGGGGAAGGGAAGGCAGCAGAGAGGCTGAGGCCAGTCAAGGACCAGCCAAGGGCGGCAGGTCGGGCCAGATAGGAAACCGCCTGGAGCGAGCGGGCTCAGCTGACCCCTGCCCTCCCGCCCACACCCTCTGCTCCTGCAGCCAGCTGAGGGTCTCCCAGCAGGCAGTGTGCTCCCTGACAGCCTGCGGAGCGGAGGCGCCTCCTGCCCCCCAGCCCCGGGCCAGCATGCGGTACTGCCTGACCCTGACACCCGCCCTCCTGGCCCTCCTGGTGGGGGCTGGCCTTTGGGGCGTGTGAGTACCCAGGCAGGGACCCGGGCAGAGGGGGCCTGGACCCCTGGGCCTGAGCAGGGGGGTTGGGCCTGGACCCCTGGGTCTGAGGGAGGGGCCGGGCCGGACCCCAGTCGGAGGGAGGGGCGGGCCCCAGATGTGGGTGGCGGTGCCCAGTGGGACGCTGATGTTGGCTGCCTGGCTCCCTCCTGTCTCCGCCTCAGCTTTGGGCTGGCCGTGCACAACGGGGCCGTGAACCTGGAGGACGGCTTCCCCTACATCAGGTAGCTGGGGGTGGGGGCGGGAAGGTGGCCGCCTGAAGCCAGGAGATGACCCCTTTATTTCTCCAGTGTATGTGGGGACAGCCCCCCTCAGAGCTGCCTCTTCAGCCAGGTGCTCAACCTCGCAGCCGCCACAGGTAAATGTTCTGGGCCCGGCGCAAATCCGCACGTGGCCTGCACCTCCCCCGCCTCGCACCCCTTGCAGCCAGCGGCTCCCCCACGCCCCTCTCCTTCCAGCTGCCTGGATCTGCATTCTCCGCTACCACCAGCTTCAGGACTGGGGTGTGAAAAAGTGGCGAAACCAGGTGATCCTGTGCGCCGGGCTCCTCTGTGCTCTGGGCACCTCTGTGGTCGGCAATTTCCAGGTGAGACAGGTGGGGCTGGCCCGCCAGCGCCTGGAACTACAACTCCCAGCATGCCTCTGGGCCGCAGGCTTCTTATGTTGGGGGCTGGCCCCCGCAAGGCTTGCTGGGACTTGTATTTCTCCTGAGGCCACCGGTCTGCGGAGAGGCGGTGCCTTGGGTCATTAGGTGGGCCCCCCCGGACGGTTCAGTATTTTGTGCTCAGTGTTCTTTGTTTTTTATGGCTGAATGAGCGCCTCTCTCCCCTTAGCCAAGAAACCGTGGGGTTCACGCACTCTGTCTGCGGCATGATGGGGCGCTGGGCGGGAGGTACCCCCCTACACTGTGTCTATGGTCAAGCCAGGTGGGGCTGGTTTGCGGGTCCGTGGTGTGAGAAAGGCCCCCAGAGCCGCAGACTCGGGACCCCACCTTCTTGTTTTTAACATTTATGTATTCATAGAAGAGCAGGGGTTCAGGCCGGAGGTGCGGGGCTGAGAGGACTCCCCAGAGACAGAGTGGGGAGCAAAACTGGAGGGTCCACTGACGCCCACTGCTGAGGGGCAGCGGGGGACGGGAAGGTCTGGGCGCCCTGGGGTCACCCCCTGGCGGGGGATGGGCTCCTGCTGCCGCTGCTGCAGCCAGCTGCAGGTGCTGGGACTCACCCTGCGCCCCAGCGCCCAGTCTGAGCCCTGCAGTCTGATCCCTTCCTTTTCCTGCAAACCGTCCCCAAAGGGCCTCGGGTGCAGCGGCTGCGGCCTCTGGGGCAACAGAGCAGCCCGGCCTCGGAGCCGACCCCCCTCGAAGCCGACCCCCCTTCCCTTCCCGCCACCAAAGTTGTGTAGTTCAGCCCCAGAGCCCGCCTGCCCTGCAGGGCCAGGAGCAGCTTCTGTTCAGCCCTGGGGCCACTCCCTGGGGCCCCTCCAGGCGACTGGCGCTGTGGGCGCTGTGGCCGGGTCCCTCCTGTGTCCAGCGCTGTCGGGCCAGGCTGTGCGGTTTAAATGCCCGCCTGGAGCTGGGGAGTCTGGGGGAAGCTGTGGGGGAGGACAGGGCTGACAAGCCGGCTGGGCCCCGGGCGGGGGCGGGGCGGGCGGGGCTGGGTCCTCCCCTCCCCTCACCTGATCCCTTCTGGCCCAGCACAGGCACCAGTGGCCCGTCCACCAGGCAGGGTCCTTCCTGACCTTCGTCATGGGCGCGCTCTACTTCTGGCTGCAGCTGGCGCTCCTGCGGGGGGCGAGGAGCCCCCCCCAGCCCGGCGCCCCCTGGGTGGGCCCGCTGCGTCTGGGCCTCTGCAGCCTCTGCACCGCGCTGGAGGCGGCCAGTATCCTTCCTCGCGGGCCTGTGCGGGTGCCCGGGGACGCCCCCTCCTTCCGGCCTCCCTGCCCGGCAAGGCCTGGTGGGGCGAATGCTGGTTCTGGGGCCCCGCTGCCTGCGCAGCCTCCCACCAGCCGGGGCAGCGCGGGCAGCGCGCCGGTGCCTCAGTTTCCCGCTCCCGGCGCGGGTCATAGCTAGGCGGCCCTGCGTTCGGGTGTAAGGACGGGGTGCACCCTGCCAGGGCGGGCTGCAAACACGGGGCCTCGGGGAAGCTCTGCTGAGGCCGGAAACCCGCGAGCAGCCCCTGGGCTGACCGGGGCTCCTGGAGGCGTGGTGGGGCCAGGGCCCTGGTGTTTTGGGGAAGCGGTGGGCCTGGGGGCGGGGCTCGCCGGAGGAAGCGGGCGGGGGCGGGCCCAGGAGCGCGCGCCTGTTGGGGCCCGCGGAGGGGTTAGCACCGCCCGCTGTGGCCCTTGACGCTGCACAGTGGTGGCCCTGCGGCTCTGCCAGCTGCGCTCCGCCTCGGCTGCCTGCGAGTGGGCTGCGGCCATGCTGCTCTTCGGCCTCTTCGGCCTCCTCTCCGCGGACTTCGCCGGCCTGGGCGGCTGCTCGCTGAGCCTGCGGCCCGCCCCTGGCCTCCCGCCGCCGCGTGGCCTGGTCGCTGAGGAGTGCGGCCCGGGCGCCCCGCGGCCCTGGGGCGCTGGGTGCTGCCTGTCCGCGCCCGTGCGGGGTCTCGGCCTGTGTCCCGCCCTGCCCTCCGGCCCCTCCCCTGCACCCCGGGCCACCCAGGAAGCGTGAGGCCAGGCCAGCAGGCGTCCCTGATCAAGGCTATTTATTATTATTATTAATTTTTTTTTGCCGCCGGCGGAATCAGAGACACGGACGCAGGCAGGATCACGCGAAACCAGAATTCCTTCCGGAGAGCAAATCCGTACAGAGGTCGTGGGGGAGGGCCGGGAGGGGAGTCGTGGACACGAGGACAGACGCCGTCTGCCCGGATCTGCTAAGCCACCCCACCAGCCCCGTCCCCCCCCCGCCCCGCAGTGACCAATAAATAAAATAATAAATTAATCAATAAATAAAATAGAAACAGCTCCCCGCCCCCAGGTCCCCTAGAACCACCCCCCAGTGGGCACGGCCGCCCAAGCCCCATCCCTGCAGGGCCAGGCCGGGTTTTGTGTCTCCCCCCTCCCTACATACTCCTTGGGCCCTATTTACAGATTCACAGTTGGGGGGCAGGGAAGGGGGGTGGAGGGGGCTCCCCTCCTTCCCTGGCCCCCTGGGGTCAGGGCAAAGGGGTCCCGTTGGTGGCCAGGAGTTTCTTGTCCTTGGGGGGGCCTCGGCGGGGAGAGCTGGTCAGCTCGGGGTCTGGGCGGCCTGGAGGGGGCTGCAGGCTCCGGGGCGGGGCCCCGGCAGGCCGGGTCTGGGCCCCGTTCTTCTCATCTGCCAGGGAGGAGAAATCTGGGCTCAGGACGCACACCGGGGCCGCACCGCCCCTGGGCTGGGCCACACCCGTGGCTGCCCGGCCGGTGCACCTGGGGCGGCCCCTGGGGCAGGCCAGATGGGGCTCAGCAGCACCCACGGCCCCGGGACAGCACCAGCGGCTGGCGGGCGCAGGGCAGCTCCCGCTGGCTCCCAAACAGGACCAGCGGTCAGCGTGGCTGGCCGATGCCTCCGTGCCAAGCCGCCAAGCAGGACCCCTCTGGGTAGCCAGCCCCGGCCCCGCCCAGCGCTGGGCCTTCTGTTGCCTCAGGCCAGGCCGAGGGGTGACAGCGGTCTCCCAAGGACGCGGAGGCTCAGGGGAGCCTGTTCTGAGGCTGGGTGCTGGATATACAGTGTCCCCGGGGAGGGGCCTGTGTCCCTGAGGAGCTGCGGGCCGCGCTCCGGGGAGGGAGGTGACCGGGGCCTAGGGACCCGGGGTCCGGCCGCGCTCCGGGGAGGGAGGTGACCGGGGCCTAGGGACCCGGGGTCCGGCCGCGCTCCGGGGAGGGAGGTGACCGGGGCCCTAGGGACCCGGGGTCCGGCCGCGCTCCGGGGAGGGAGGTGACCGGGGCCCTAGGGACCCGGGGTCTGGCCACAGAGGCTCCTCCAGGGCTGCTGCCTGGAACGTGGGTGAAGGCCCCCAAAGCCAAGGAACGCGGGTACTCCTGGGAGGCCCCAGGCGGGGTTCCACTGAGACCGCCGGGAGGGCTTTCGGCCCTGGGACGGGCCCCACCTCCGGCCTGCTCGCGCCCTCCCCCGCGGGCCTGGAGGCCGCCCACCTGCCAGGGCCTGCACGGACGGCTGGTCGTGGGTGCTCAGCAGCTGGGCCTGGATGGTCTCCACCACGCGCTTGAACCTCCGGCTGGGACCTGGGGACAGAGACTGGCTTGGGGGCGGGACCCGGCCTGGGGCCACGCGGGAGACGGCAGCTCAGACCCGAGAAAGTCATCAGGGTGGGACATTCTCAGCATCTAGAAACATGTCAGCTAGTCCTTACCGGGAGAAAGAAAGGTGCAGAAAAAAGGAAGGCAGGGGCGCAGAGAGCCATGACCGGCTGGGCGGCCATCTGGGGCCCCTCGCCCCGCCGCGCGCTCCCTCCCCGTGCCCCGGGCCGGGACCCAGGTGGCTGTGTGGGGCCCTCGGGCCCCTGGGCAGCTCCCACACTGCCCCCCAGCTCGCGAGAGGAGCGCGGGCCAGCGCAGCTCTCCTCGCGGGACTCAGTTTCCCAGCTGGGAGGTTTCCCAGCTGGGAGGTGCGAGACGCCGACGCCCAGGGGCGCGGGGGGCGACCCGCGGGATGCCCCACAGACCAGACGCCCGCGAGTGGCCGCGTCCAGAGCGCGGGGCACGGTGAGCAGCCCGGGGTCCTCCCCTGGCCGCGCCGGCCCCTTCCTCGGCGGCTCCCCAGACTCACCCGAGAGGAGCGTAAAGGTGACGGAGTAGATGCCGCCGCCGCCCCCGCCGTCCCGCCGGGGGGAGGGCTCCGGGCCCTCGGAGGAGCTGATGTCCACCTGGAAGCGGACAGGCTTCTGGAAGACGGAGGGGCCGCCGCTGGCCTTGTACTCGGCCCTGAAGCTGGTCTGTGACAGCACACTGTGACTCAGGCTGGGGATCTGCGCGGCGGGGACAGGCGGTGAGGGGGGCGCCGGCCCGCCTCGAGGCCACCCGAGGCCCCGCTGCTGCCGGGGCTCGCGCGTCCCCGTCTGGCTACCGTAGGGTCAGCGGGGCAGGGGGCAGGGGGCAGCTCCAGCGCCGGCCTCCAGAACCAGGAGCCGCAAACACAGCCTCGGGCCTCGGGCACGCCCGTCCCAGGAGCATTTCATTCTGGCAGCCCTAGAGGGGCCGCGGCCGGCAGCTCTCGGGCGACAGAGGAGGGCCCCCAAATTCTGAGCCGCCGGAAGGGGACCAGTGAGCCCTGCCCCGGGCCCCGGGAGGGCAGCCAGGCTGGGGCCACTCGGGGGCCCGGGGGCTCACGCCGAGGTGCCCGGCCCCTCACCGACAGGAAGGCGTGGACGATGTCCGCTTTGATGCTGCTGAGAGGTTTGTCCTTTAGCACGAGGAATATCTGCTCTTCTTTGTCCAGGGAGATGAAGTTCCCAAACCAGGAGCGTTTGGCCAGCCTGGGTCGCAGAAGGCGGGGCGGTCAGGGGCGAGTGAAGGCCCTCTCCCCCCCCCCGCCTGTTACTCACTCTGGAGAGGACTCTGGTGTCAAGCTGGACATCTCCTCGGCGGTGGGGACTGGGTGTGGGCAAGGAGAGAGGCGGTCAGCGCCTCCGGCATCCAGCCCCTGGACAGAGCTTCCGGAGAGGCCACGCCCTCTGGGAGGGGCCTGCTGGCCAGCAGCCAATGGGAACACGCGCGCTGCGCTCCCCAGGCCCCCCCCCCCCGCCGCGGGGCTCCAGGTCCTCTCTTCTACTCCAACATGGGAACCGGCCCCAGCCCGGCCCCAGGACCCAGGTCTTGGTCCCTAGCTCCCCGCCACCTAAGACGCAGGGGTCCGCCCCTCGCCCAGCACCTGCGCCCCATGGAGCCCCCGTACCCTGCATCTTGCGCCGGTGAAAGCGCGGGGAGCCCAGGAAGCTGTTGCGGATGGAGTTGAGACGACTCCTCCAGGCGGCTCCCCCAACGCCGCCGCCGGGGCTGGGGGGTGGTGTTGTCCCCGGGGTCCCCGTAGGGCTAGCCCGGGGTGTGTGCAGGGGTGAGTGCAAGGGGGTTCCCCCTGAGGAGCGTGGGGAGCCTGGAGGGCCGGGCAGAGGCGTGGAACGGGCACTGGGGGGTGGGGGCTGCTCGCAGGTGCCCCCACCCCTGGGGCCCCGAGAAGGCAGGGTCTGCGTTTTGGAAGTCGGGGAGCCTCCACCCCGAGCCTCGTCTCCAGTCCCTGGCTCCGGTGAGAAGGAGAAGACGGGACTCTGCAAAGGACAGGGTGAAAGGGTGGACTACAAGTCCCAGGAGGCCTAGCAGGCCCCCACATGTACACCCCCAAAGAGGCTGGCCCCGATGCACGCTGGAACTTGTAGTCCAGTTACACCCCCCCCCCCAAGGGACTCCTGTCTTGCTTGCCCAGTCAACCCAGCAAGCAGGTGCTCAATTAGCTTCTCCAAGCCCACCCTACGGGGGGTGGGGGGGTCTGGCCAATGCACGGAGGTCTTCCTCCCTCTGGACAAGGAGCCCCCTCCCCTCCCCAGGACCCCGGGACCGGCTTACCCTGGGGCTGCTCAGGGGGCTGGAGGACAGACCCGTGGAGGCCCCACTGACACTGCGGGACCTGTGTCCAGGACAGATGAAAAACCTCAGGTGGCAGAATTTGCAGGCCCCCAGCGTCCACTCCCTTCCAGATCCCTTGCATGAGACGAGGGTGGGGGGTGGGAGTGGGGGCTCCGCAGAGAGCAGGCGCCTCCGCGGAAGCCGGGTCAGGGCCCCGGGCTCCCGGCGCCGCGCCCACCTCTGGCTGTGCTGGGCCATCTCCAGGGCCCGGCGCGTGGGCACCGGGGAGCCGCCGCCGCCCGCGTCCGTGATGCTCAGGACCTCCATGGACTTGCGCTCGGGCCGCCGCTTCCCGTGCCGGCTCAGCATGGGGGAGTCCACGCGCTTCCGGGGCGGGTCTGCGGACGGAGCCGCCGTCAGACCCGCGCCAGATGCAGCGGGCCACCCAGACGGGGAGACTGAGGCCCAGCGCCGAGGGTCTGGCAGCGACCACAGAGCAAGTCGGGGCTGGGGGCTTCGCGGTCCAGGGTGGCCCCTGCCTCCTGGGGACCCCGCGGGCGCCCAGCCCTGCGCACCGACGTCGTTCCGGGGCGGCAGGTCCTGGTCCTCGCAGCTGGGATACCGCTCCTTCCGATCCAAAAGCAGGTAATAGATCATCTTCTCCTGGTTCTCCCTGCGGGGGCGGGCGAATGGGGTGGCGAGGACCCAGGTCAGCTGGGGGCCTGGCGCGGGGGCTCCCCGGGCGCCGAGGCTCATCGCACCTGGCGCGCCCCCTGCTGACAGCCCGTAGTCCCGTGGCCGCTCGCCCACCTGGATTGGGGGGGCCAGGGGAGAGAGGCCTGGGGTGGGGGGCACTCACTCCTCGCTGCGCAGCTCGCGGTGCAGCCGTTCGCGGTCGCGGAAGCAGCCCAGGGACGCCATGCTTTCCAGGACGTCGGGGTCCAGCTCCCCGTTTGACGGCAGGCTCCGCATGGCCACCCGGCGGCCTGGAGCTGGCTCCAGGCAGGGGTCTGGCTCGTGTTTCCCGCCCCTTGGGAGGGGGAGGCACGTTGCAGGGGACAGACTTCTGCGTCCGACCGAACCTCCTTCTGAGACCCCGGGGTTCTGGCCCCCAGCCTCCTCCCTGGAACCCAAGAATCAGGCCCCCAGCTTCCCACCCCCAAGCCGGGTCTCTTGCTTTGGGGACCACTGGCATTTGGGCCCCTGTTCCTCCCCGGGGACCCCACGTGCAGGGCACCCGTACTCACAGGTACCAGGGGTGTTTCTGAATTTGCTCCAGCTGTGAAGAAAGCGGGTCACAGAGAAGCAGAAATGAGGCCGTATGAAGACACTGGGCTCGCGATGTAAGTGGATGGGACAGTACCGGGGACCCCCTCCCGGACGGCTGGTGTCTCCCCCTAGCGGCGGCCGAGCGTGTTTGCGCGGCCGTGTCGATCCGCGCACGCGCAGTGCGAACCCCTGGCCCGCGCCCGCATTGGCGCCTGCGCAGTGGCCGATTGCTCCTCCTCGCCTCCCCCGGGCCGCTCTGCGCTCGCGCCCCCAGCCCCAGGTCCTCGCGCCCCGCCGACGCCCTCAACTCACGCTGAGCCTTTTCTCGGGCTCCACTTCGATCATCCCCCTCAGGAGGCTCTGGCAGTCTGGAGGGATGAAGTGGGGCATGTGGAAGACGCCCCGTTTCACCTTCTCCAGCAGCTGGCGGAGGTTGTCGTCGTCGAAGGGCAGCGCCCCCTGGACGGAAAGTGACCGGGCGCCTTAGCAGGGCTGGGCACGGGCAGGGGCTGCCGGCCAGGGCCGCTGTGGCCTCGGGCTCCCCGGGAGGCCGCGCCCTCCACGGCTCGTCCCCGCCTGCGCTTTGCTCACTCATCCAGCCTGCAGATTGTTGGGGCGCCTGGCTCCCGCCGCTCACCCCAGGGCCGCCCGCCGTGTCCCCAGGGGAGGGCGGAGTGCGCCGCCGTGGACGCTGGCTCTCACCGGACCTGGCCCGCGCTGCCCCACCCTCCCAACCCACAGCCAGTCCGGGCACCTGGCGTCCAGGCGTCCACCCGCGGGCGCGCCCAGCTGCGCCCTACCGAACGCCAGCCCGCCACGCGCTCCACTGCTGAGCCAGGGCCGGGGCCGGGTGCACGATATTGGGCAGCCGTGAGAGCCCACGCCCGGGGCCCACCCCCAGCCCCGGTGCCGCGGGGCCGCGCAGTCCTCGCTCGGGAAGCGCCGCTAAGCGAGGCTCCCCTCGATTCCTCTGCGAGGCACAAAACGGGTGAAAACACGCACTCCAGCCCGACTGGGGGCCGTTTTCAAGAACAAAGCCACCCACAGAAGGCACCACAAAAAGTGACGCTCTTTGGACTGCGGGGAATCTGCTTAGAGGCTAAAATCCAGGGGGGAGCTGAGCGTGTGCCCCACCGCCGCCCTCCCGCCGGTCCTGCGGGGGCCAGACGGTCCGAGAGCACAGCCAGCCCTCGCGGGTAGACTCCTGAGCCTGGGTCCGGCGTAGGCTCCATCGGGCTGGCTGATGACTGGCCCCGCAGGTGCGAAGCCTTTGATGTGACCCCTGCCGCCCCCCCCCACCGCAGGCCGCCCCCAGGGCAGTGGCCTCTGGGGGGGGGGTGGCCAGCCGTGTGTTCCCCATCCGTGCCTGCAGGGGGCGCGCTCGGCCCACCTCTGGGGGCTGCCCTTCCCATGTCCTGGACGCCCACGAGGGTCACGCGGGGTGGCCTCGTTCTCTCCACGTCAGAGACCCGCCTGGTCACACCAGCGTCGCTCACGGGCCACACGACCCGCGCGAGAGGGGCGCAGGTGCGGAGGCCCCGGCAGCCCAAGGCCCTGCTGACCACTCACGTCTGTGACACGGCAGAGCCGCGGCGCTTACCACGAGCAGGGCGAAGAGGATCACCCCACAGCTCCACATGTCGGCCCGGCGGCCGTCATACTTCTCCCCCTGGAAGAGAGGCGGCCCTGACCACTGTGCTCCCCGCGGCCCCCCCCCACCCCCCACCTCTCGCCACTCACCTTGATCACCTCTGGGCACGCGTAGTGGGGGGACCTGAGGAAGAGAGGGGGTGAGGCCTGGCCGGTGCCCGCGCCCCCCGCCCCGGGGCCCCACTCACCCGCAGCTGGTCTCCAGCAGGCTGTCCCCCACCTGCAGCGACGCCATGCCGAAGTCCGCGATGCGGATGTTGTTCTTCTCGTCCAGCAGCAGGTTCTCGGGCTTCAGGTCCCTGTGGCTGAGACAGGCGGCCGCTCAGCCTCGACCTCCCGGGCCACCGCACCTCTCCGCTCTCTGCAGGCGCGGGCAAGGGCGGCTGGGCCAGCTGGGCACCCTGCCCCCGCCCGCCTGCGGGAGCCCCCTTGTATTTCCAGAGAAGGGCGCCTTTAGAGGGAAGCGGGGTGAGACCGCGCCGAGTCCTTAGATCTCCAGACGCGCAGCAACAACATGGAGAACTGCCGGGGCAAGCGGCCGGGCGGCACCGGCCGGTGCCCCTGTGCACAGGGACCAGGCCCAGCATCGGCTGGGGACTCCCTCCGGGGACGCAGTGGGAGCGGAGAGCCAGGGCCTGGGGTGATGGGGGCTACCGGGCCCGATGGGGGGCCTGCGGCCACCCACAAGTGGGGAGGGTGACGGGACCCCTGAATCACACCGGGCTGCCAGCCAGTGTTGCTGCAACAAAAATGATACAGCTTGAAAATAAACATGGCTACCCCATGCCCTCCAACCCCGCTGTCGGAGCCAGTCCTCCCAATGAGGGGAGTGCGGCTGGAGGTGCCGGGTGGCCTCAGGTCCAGCCAGGCTGAGACTGGGGACTGACTGTCCCCCCCGGAGGCCAGGGTTGCCAACGGACCTGGGTACCCAGTAGTCAGCAGGGACGTGTCCCCAAGTTCGTGGGTTGCCGCACTATCACCAAGCTTCACCCCAAGACTGAGCTCCACCCTGGCCCCACCCCACCACCAACCCCCTCCCAGGGTGGAGACGTCAGCTGAAGGCATCCTCTCTGCACCTGTTCACCGTAGAAGCAGCGCCCACCTCACGCTGACCAGCGCTGCGAGCCTCGAGTCAGGAGGGGGTCACCTTCCATGGGCAAGAGCAAGTGCAAACCCCTCAGCCTGTACCTCAAGCCACACACAAAAACAGCTTGAGGTGGTCAGTGGACCTAAACACGCGAGCGAGAACCACACTCCTAGTAGAAGACATAGGAGAAGGCCCCTGGGGCACAGGTGAGTCAGCTACGGAGCCCCCCAGGCACTGCCGCCAGAGTCCATCCCGGCCAGGGCGTGCCCACAGGGCACAGCAGACCCTCCTGTCTCCCCGCTGCTCCCTCAGCGGTGGGGTTCAGGGGATCTGCCTGTCTGTCTCTGGGGAGTCCTCTCACCTTCCACCTCTGGCCTGCACCCCAGTTCTGTGTGCATCAATAAACAAAATAACTCTTTAAAAAACAACAAACAGGAGAAAGTCTTACTGACTTTGAGTCAGATTGAAAAAGCATGAACAGGTTCTCCCTGGTGGCGCAACGGGTTAGGATGCAGAACTGCAAACTGGCCACAGCCGCTTCAGAGCAAGTTCGATCCTGCCCCGGAGCTGACCCACATGGCCCGGCAGACCTCTCCTGACCGCCCGCTGCTCCCTCAGCAGTGCAATTCGTCAGTCGGCCTGTTCAGCTCCCCACTCTGTCTCTGGTGAAGCCTCTCACCACCCTGTACCTCTGGCCTGTACCCCAGTTCTGTATGCATAAATAAATAATCTCTTTTTTTAAAAAAAGAAAGCATAAACTGAAAATCAGAAAGCGCAAGAAATGGGCCCATCAGCATTTGAGACTCTCGCTCTTCACAGCCACGATCACAAAGATGCAGAAGTGTGTCACCCACTGGGAGACAGCGTGGGGAACAAGGGCATCAGACTGGCTCCCAGGATGAGTAACTGCCAGGGCTTATCCTAGAATTAGCCCTGTTCCTAGAATACAGCATCCTCAGACTCCAATGGGAAAAGACAAATCCTTCCATTAAAAACGGGCAAAGGGCCCTCCCTGGTGGCGCAGCGGGTTAAAGCACAGCACTGAGAATCTGAAGCCACTTCC